CATGTGCAGCAGGAATGTTAGTTATAGATAAGATATGAACTGGATATAACCTCTGATATTAAGAAAAGTTTGTCCACTAGTGTTTGATTAACATTGTGGAGGATCATTCCTTTTATCTTGGATTATCTCATGAAGTACTTTAGTGTCATTTGAGGTTATCTTGTGTCACTATTCAGCCATCCTACCTTAGTTATGACTTATCTTACAACCCAAACATTCTTAGTATTTCATTGGGGGATTGGAGGCCAAATTTTGTGGATTCATAAATGGAATTTTTTAACTTCTTCATGGATTTTTCTTTTTGTTTTATAAGAAGTCTTTGCACAGGACTTTAGTCAGCAAAACTGGCTTAGCATAATGCCCTGTGTAAGCATTTCCTCTAGATGCATTTATTATGTCTTTTATGGTGAATATCTACTTTATAATCACAATTGTATCAGGTAGCACTAAAACATCAAGCAATTAATATATTTTTTGCCCAGTTTTTCAGAAGTACCGGAAGAGGTTAAGAATACTCTTTGTTTCCATAACATTTTAAAGTTGTGAACTATAAAAATCTATTGACTATCTGTGATTATATTTAGACTTTTATATTAATCAAATTGACATGTCCTACAAAGGACCATAAGTTTAGACACTTGAGCTGATTGTTTTCTGATGAGAAGCTGAATTCTACAAGGAAAGCCAGAGTAGTTATTCATAAGTAGCCTGGTATTTTTCCTTTTCATTTGTGAGATAAGACACATCAATATACAATGTCAAGTGAGGATTTTGTATGAGAATGATATGTTCTGAAAATGAACAATTCTTGAACTATAGAAGCATAATTATTATATTCTCCATAGGGAAAATATTAAAATATTTAAGATAATAAAACAATAAAAATATTAAACTTGCTGAATTGAGATATATATTTAATATGAGGAGAAAGTATTAATATTTTGTAATTTATCAGCTAGTAAAAAATTGTTAGATGATTAGCATTCAACAGTTAATAGGAATTGTAAGAATGTGGTGCCATCAAGACTGAAGATGATTCTAGTCAGAAAACTCAATAGTTTTGACTAATTTATCAAAGGAAGCAAATTATTTGTGACAAGGAGGATAAGTCTTTGTTATTATAGCCTACTTAATTAGGCTATAATTGATGGTCTTTGATGTGTGCTGTGTTGTTAAATTAATGTCCTAGAACGTGACCTAACAATTCATGTACATACAAAACTAAAGGTTTATAATGATTTGGTAGACCTACATAGGATATTGAAAGGATATTTTGAGCTTACTTTGGACTTTTTAAAGTTCTGTGACTCATAGGAGTGGTTCTGAGATATTTGACTTAGTCAAATTATTAAAGGGTATTCCTATTTTTTAATAAATTTGGTACTCATTACCGACAGTATCTGTTTAAGAAATTTCCTTAATTACCTTTAATTGTTGTTTATGAGTAATTTGGTATAATTTGGAATCTTCCTTGGATAATGTCTTTTCTTCAATTGATATATCATGGCTTAGAATAATGAAGTATTATTTTGCAGAGTTGGAATTTTTTCCTAGAAGCTTGGTGTCCCTTTATAACTAGCTTGATGAGTATATGGATAGAGTCAGTTTTAGGATTTTCCAAAGTAAGGGAATATAATATGAGGTTATCTGCTTACTGTAGCAGAGTGAGTCCACAAAGGATCTGTATATTAACATCCTGTTTCAAGATTCAGGAGAAGTAGGACAGATTCAGTAAATCCTTGGGTATGTCATTGTCCAGGTGAATTGTTATTTTTTTCTCAGGAGAAGACAAATAAATATTGATTATTCTTATTTTAGAGACTAAATTAATAAACAAATATGAGCATAGATATATTACTATAAAGAATTCTACTGAAGGGACTGAGGAGAATCTGTGTTAGGTACTACTGGGAAGCGAGGAGTTAGAAGGAGTTAGCATCTTGTAAATTGCTCATTGAATTTGGAAAAAATCTAAATCCTTGAGGACTGGGCTTTTTGTTAGGTAAATTGGAATATTGCTGGGGCTGGCTATAAGAATAATTTGTCCATTGTTCATGGGTAAAATTGATCCAAAAACTTCTTTGACTTCATCTTACAAGGGTATTCAAAAACATTAGACAAAAACTTTGAAGAATAATCTGGACACACAGAGGTTTACTCTAATAAATTTGCCTATGTCTCTAGATTCTTTGCCCACAGGTTTCTGGAAATAGCCATGCAGTGTAGATATATTATTAATAACATATATATCAACTATAATCAGCTCATCACATACATATCAGCTATAATCAGTATGTAGAATTTTCTGGGACTGAAGTATACTTTATCTGGAAATTCTATTTTCACAATAATTCTTTATCTATTGCATTTGCAGGAGTTATGACATAGAGGAGTAGTGCTGGTGTCACGGACATGTGACCTGTGCTGTCCCACTGGGCCCCTGGTTATAAGGATCCCATGCTTGATTTAACACTCTGCTGTCATCATCTTGAAATTCTTAATAAATATTGAACAGGGGCCCCATATTTTAAGTTTTCACTGGGTCCCATGGAGAAGAATTTAGGATTATTAGAAATCCCCAGATTAAGTGGTTGTAGTGCTCTGAGGGAATTGGTTTACTATAGTACTGGGGTTGATCACAGAATGGTACCCATATCAGTGAGAATGTTATATTGTCTGTTTAGATTATAGACAATTTCTCATCGGGTTTTACAATGAGACGGAATTGCTGGTGCTTATGTTCCTATTCAAACAGGATCTTTGGACAGTTTTTAACCCAATAAGAGGCATTGGTTCTTCTAATGATCTTTTTATTGCAATAATTGTATGTATCATTACTTAGAATTTTTCTATTCTCTAAGAATATTTTTTTTGTTTGTCTTATTTGTAGGATAGGAGTTTGTGTTCATTTCTAGCTTATTTACTTTCTAAGACTCTTAGAAAATATTAAACCATATGTCGAAGATATTCCAAATTGACATTTCCTCACTTCAATTAATGTTTATCTAAATTTCTAATTTCCGGTCTGTGTTCATTTATAAAGGAAAGAAAAATGGATCTTTTATTTCAGCTATTATGTTTTCCCCAAAATATTGCTTGAAATTTTTCAGAAATCCATTATTAAAATCTCCTATTTCAGATGGGTGCGGTGGCTCATGCCTGTAATCCTAGTACTATGGGAGACCAAAGTAGGAGGATCCTTTGAGCTCAGGAGTTTGAGACCAGCCTGAGCAAGAGTGAGACCCCATCTCTACTAAAAATAGAAATTAGCTGGACAACTAAAAATATATATAGAAAAAATTAGCCAGGCATGGTGGCGCATGCCTGTAGTCCCAGCTACTCTGGAGGCTAAGTCAGGAAGATCTACTGAGCCCAGGAGTTTGAGGTTGCTGTAAGCTAGGCTGATGCCACAGCACTCTAGCCCAGGCAACAAAGTGAGACTCTGTCTCAAAAAAAAAAAGTCTCCTATTGATTCATCTTCATTTTGTTTATAATTTCTAATCCTTGTCAAATCTATTTTTGTCCAGCTTTACTGAGGTATCATTGACAAATAAAAATTGTACATATTTAAGGTGTACAAATTTATACACACACACACATTGTGAAATGATGACCACAATCAAGCTAACATCCATCACCTTACAGAGTTAGTATTCTTTTTTCATGGTGTGAACACGTAATACCTATTCTTTTAGCAAATTTCAAGTGTAAAATATAGTATAATTTCCTATAGACATCAGGCCGTACATTAGATCCCCAGAAGTTATGAATCTTACAATTGAAATTTACATCCTTTACCAGCATCTTCCCATTCCTCTACCCCTACCACTGCCCTAGGAAACCACCATTCTACTGCATGCTTGTATGAGTTTGACTTTTTTAGATTTCAAATATAAGTGAGAGCAATTAGTATTTATCTTTCTGTGTCTGGCTTATTTCATAGAGCATAATGTTCTGTAGGTTTATCCATGTGTCATAAATGACAGGATTTCCTTCATTTTTATGGTTAAATAGTATTCTATTATATGTATACACTGCATTTTAAAAAATCATTTCATCCATTGCTGGTCACTTAGGTTGTTCCCGTATCTAGAATAATGCTACAATAACATGGGAGTGCAGATATCTCTTTGAGGCCCTGATTTCATTTCCTTTGGTTATATACCCAGCAATTCGCTGGATCATAAGTAGTTTTACTTTTAATTTTTTTTGAGAAGCCTCCATACCATTTTTCATAATGAATGTACTGATATACCTCTCCATCACCAGTGTACAAGGTTACCTTTTCTCCACCTCCTCATCAACATTTGTATCTCTCGTCTTTTTGATACATACCAGTAGTTTGAAAATATTTTATCCCACTCCATAGGCTGCCTTTTTACTTTGTTGATTGTATACTGTACTATGTAGAGCTTTTTAGTTCTATGTAGTTCCACTTGTATATTTTTGGTTTTGCTGGCTGTGCCTTTGATGCCAAATCCAAGCAATCATTGCCATGACCACGTCAAGAAGCTTTTCCCCTGTTTTCTTCAAGGAGCTTTATAGTTTCATGCCTTATGTTTTTTTTTTTTTTTTTTGATCCTTCATGTATTTTTATTGCTTCTATTTACATATGTAATACTGTTTAGTGTTTACAATTGTATTCAGCAAATTTCCTGTTTATTTAAACCTACTCAAATATTATTTATATTATTACAACAAAACCTACATAGTTAAGTATTTGAGTTATTGAAGTAAAAAAAAAAACAACAACTTTAGATCCTTTAAAGATACTGTGTCATTTTCATTTTCTGTATTTCCCCAACCCCATTTAAAATTTTTAAGTCATTCCCGGTTCTCTTCTGGCTGCAGGAGGCTCCCACCGTCCACACCTGGCGGGACACCAGCCTGGCCGGCAGCTCCGGGCCCTCTAACCCTGGGGGGCCGTCAGTGCGCACGCGCGGGCCCAGGCGCCAAATTCCCCACGAGTCTCGTGTGCGACAGGCGTGAGGGGAGTGAGGGGCCAGCCCGAGAGGGCAGAGCGGCAGTCACACCCCGCCATGGGGAAGGAGGCTGTCCAAAAGCCGAGGGGGAGCCATTCTTGCACCCGACAGCCACCCCGCCAGGCTCCCAACTGACTACTATCCAGGACAGCAGGCCGTTCCTCACACTCCACAGCAGGCTCCTCCTCATGTTTAAGACTTTAATCCGCTTTGAATTCGTTTTTGGGTATACTATAAGGTAGGAGGCCCATTTCATTCTTTTGCATGTGGATAATCAGTTTTCTCAGCACCTTTTGCTGAAGGACTCTATCCTTTCCCCAATGTGTGTTTTTCACCGTTGAGTATGATGTTAGCTGTGGGCTTGTCATATGCGACCTGTATTACGTTCAATGCATTAACAACTGTTGAACTCAGGATATGAACTAACTAAAACAGCCTTTCACAATTTGTCCTCATGAAGGTTATTTAGGGAATGTGAGGCAAATTTGACTAATTGCCTTTTTTACAAGTTGGTCTCTAGTCCAACAGGCCTACAGACTTTTGACATGTAAAACTTTATTCCATATGGTGTTGATTTTTGTCTATGATCACTAATATTGTCTAAAAGAAATTATAGTGAATCTTATCTATGCATATTAATTTTCATTTATTTTATATTTATTGCTATCGTTGGTATAAGTAAATAATATCTCTGTGTGTGTGCACACATTGATCATGTTTTTTCTGTGAGTTCTCCTTAACTCTCTTACAAATTCTCTTTTATTCAAAAATGAGCCCATCTTGGGTGTAATATATATGAGTATTTTACTATCTTTATATATCTCTTTGAGTCTTAGACACTTGATATTTCAGAAAATTGTTAAGGGTAGACCCTGTTGACCTTCACTCAAGAAGTTGGTATCTTTCTTATTTGCTGATGTTAATTAAGCATTTCCCTGCTAGAAAAGTGAGACCATTTTGACAGAATTATTTTAATGGTTCCTCTCAATCTAGCTCAGGTGATTTTCATAGGAAAAATGATCAAGGGATAGCAAATGATTTTAATTATATTTGTGAATTTCTAATACATATGATTTGTAGTATGTATTTATTATAGAATTCCTAAATCTTGATTTTGCTGGTAACTGTGTTTTCTAAGATTGCTTCTTAACTAAATCTTTTTCCAAACCAGGAAGACCTCAGAGGGTTTACAAATCCTCAAAGATTCATCTATGTTAAGATAAGGAATTTCATAGCCTTGCAGTTCTTTATATCTCAGAATGGTATTTCCCAATGACATTGCATCAGGCCACATTTCCAAAAGTGTTTCATTGTCCCACCTGATCAATAGGGATTCTCCTTACTTTTATAACAACAGGAAGTCTATACTGTGAGAGTATTTGATGTGCCAATAGTATATTAAGAAAACAGTTCACTGTTTTTCCTGGTCCATTTTTTAACTCTGATCTCTTATGTGTGAGTTTTGTTTGCTTAGTGTATTTGAATAAAGTTACATGTAAGATAGCTCATCTGTCCCTGAGGGAAAAGGAATTGAAATCTCTCAGAATTATTTTTAGGGCAAAAATCAGCAAAATATAATACAATGAAATACTCTGATGTGATCAGAATCCATATATAGCCAGAGCAACACTTACTTTCAGCTACCAAAAAAACATAGAATCAGACTTTTCACTGATATTTTCTAGGAAAAATAAAAACCTTAAGTACTCTTAAATTATAAAGTAAAATTTGATTGCTTCATGAGTAAAATACTTAGATTTAATGCAATTTAGATATGTAGTGACCTATGGTAACTAAAAGCTCACAGAATTTCACATGACAAAATCTTAAAATTGTTTTTTTTTTATTTCAAGATTGAATGTGGGATATACTTAATATATTGGCTTGTGTATTTGATCTAAGCATGTTGTAAAGTGGTAATTTTCAAAATAAAAAAATTACTAATTGTGTGAAAACATTAGTACCTGTAAAATACTTTCTATATCCATGTGCTAATTAGTACCTAAATATATAAGTAAGAATTTCAGAGTCTTTTATTTTCTTTTTCTTCACAAAATGGAATTTTATATAACCTTTTCTCCATCACATTTTTCCCCTGATTTTTCCTCCTTTCTCTATTCACACCTAAACTATGTACAACATAACCTCTTTCTCTATCTGCTTTTGAAACCTTTTTGCTGGGATCTCCAATACTTCTTAATTGCCCAATTTAATGTGGGCAGAACATTTGATGTCTTCTAAGAATTCTCAGCTGCATTTCATATTTTTGACATTTTGCTCCTCATTGCAATTCTTCTTTACTTTCTGAGATGCAGTACTTTGCTTGTAATCTTGCTACCACTGTGAGATTCTGTGCTTGTCTCTCTTCTCATTTATATCCTTTTCCTGAATCATTTCATCTACTCCTATGACTTCAAATACTGCAAAGAAGCAGTATTCTACTGAGTCTGTACAGTTGACCCTTGAACAACACAGATTTGAACTGCACAGGCCCACTTACATGCAAATTTTTTTCAATAAAAGTTACACCAAGTGTGCTTGCCTGTCTTCCCTGCTTCTCCTTCCCCCTCCTTCACCTTTTCTGCCTCTACCGCCTCTGAGACAGCAAGATTAACTCCTCTTTTTCCTCCTGTTCCTCAGCCTACTCAACATGAAGACAAGGAGGATGAAGACCTTTATGATGAGCCACTTCCACTTATATTTTTTCTTTCTTATGATTTTCTTAATAACATTTTCTTTTCTGTAGCTTACTTTATTGTAAGAATACAGTATTAATACATAAAACATACAAAATATGTGTTACTTGACTGCTTCTGTTATTGGTAAGGTTTCTGGTTAACGGTAGTTATTAGTAGTTAAGTTTTTGGAGAGCCAAAAGTTATGTATGAGTTTTTGGTTGTGTGGGGTCTGGGGCACCCCAACCCCCGTGTTGTTCAAGGGTCAACTGTACTTTCATCCCAGACATATCTGAATTCTAGACCATTATTATCAAGTCTAGTCTAGGGCATCCTTTGCATCACATGCTGAATCCATAAGCTTTTCTCTATAAGCATTTTTTCACCTAATTCAGGAGTGGTTTGATTGATGCTAAGAAAGATCCAATTGAAATATGGAAAAATGTGGTAGAATGCCCAATTCCTTCAGCAACATGCCCGAAAAATGCTTTCTTGCTTTTCAGCCACTTATTGCTGCGAATCTACACTATCCTACCTAACCCAAATCAAGATGCTGTGAAGGTCCCAAATGACTGATATCCATCTAGAGGATCAAGTGAAACCACAGACCTCTGTGCTGCAACCAAACATTCAAATGCTGTCCAACAAAAAGAAGACACAACAAAGTCATTAAAAGGTTAGTTCATTTTAAAATTAACAAATAGTTTTTTGAAATTATTAAGTTACAGATTAGATTTTTATAAAACAATGTAAATTTTTATGTATATCTAATTGAAGTTTCTTGAATACGGCCTTATTTGATTACAGCTAAATTAATACAGCCTTCCAACATGAAAAGGTTCCCCAACGCTGACCAAGTCTGACCTCTTTCAGTGGAAAGAACCATTTACCTTCTAAGGTCAGAATCCTGTGTATTCCAGATTTATTTCTAACTATCAAATTCTATTTCTCTGGAGTCTATTATGTCTTTTATACACCTTATTTTTCATTTAGTCTGCATATTAGTCTCCCAACTAGTGGTTTTCTATCTTTACCTAGTCCATTCCTCATAACCGTTACAGAATAATCTTTAAAATATCAAATAAGTACTTCATCTTAAATTGAGTTCAACATATGAAATAAAACAATCGATTTTTGTAAAATTGGAAGCTAGTTGTTCCAAATGTATTTACCAAGTATTCCTGATTTGATTTGTGGTATCTATATTATTGTATAATCATTTCACACACAATTGAGTCTCTTGCTGGGCAATCTTTTCCAATGCATTGGTAGTGTTGCTTATCTGGTGACCATATCCTATATTATATATTATGTCTTTATTAATATAATATGCTGAGATGTTTTGTAAAACCAGATTCTTCCACTAGTTTTTTATTTCTGAATTGTCTTTGATAGAGTCAACTATTGATTTTTTTTTTCAAATCATCTTGTCAGTGCCTCCCAAAATTTTCATTTGACGTACATTGAATCACATTGAATCTATGGTATAATATGGTGAAAACTGATGATTTTACATGTATCATTGCTTTTGAATAACATAATATACCAAGGATATAATTCTTTGATATTCTCTCAAATATCAAATGCTTTCTTTCAAAGCATTATATCCTAAAATAAAGATTTATAGTTTCTTTAAATTAATAGATTTCACTTAGGGAATTAGAAAGAAGGATTATAATGCCCTCTTTTGCTACTTTGTTTTTTGAGGCAATATTGTGGCAAGAATATTCCCTTCTAACAAGTTAGGATTGGAACTGGAAAGTTAGTCATTCATTTTTATCTCTCCTCTCTACAATGCAATCAAATTGTCTGTGACTCTCTCAAGTCACTCTTCCCTGAAATCTGAAGAGAGTGATTAAGTTCCAGTTTGGTCAGAGATGGCTGAAAATCCTATTTGGCATTTAATAAAAATGTGACCTTATTTTATAGTCACGACTGGTGGAGTTGGAATATCATAAATGCAATTTAATTTTATCAAAGGATGGAGCTGTAAATCATATTTTTTCCATATTTTCTGCTATGTTTTCTAGCCCAAGAGATGATCAATCTCTCTGATTGATTCAAGCTAACCAAATTTACAAAGGAGTAATCTGTAAACCAGAATGCTAAATTGTTATTTTAAAATATCATACACCAACTTCTAGTAATCAGAATTGTCAAACAAAAATAGTAATATTAGTAACAATGGTTCTTATTTATTTAGAAAGTCATCTGTTCATGCATAGAGGGAGTGTAACGGAACCTTACCTTTCAGAGTTTAGGCTTTGTCAAACTTTTTAAGTTTAAACCTGGCTCTTTCAGTTAATCAGTCTATTGCATAGGGCATATAACTTAACCTTTAAGTGCCTTCGTTTTATCATCTGTAACATGCTCTATAGAGCAGTTGTGATGATAAAATGATATAGGTGAAGAACTTAGCATAGTACCTGAAACATACTAAGTGATGAATAAATATTAAATATCACTTATTGATCATTTAGTAAATATCATTTAGAAAACAAGGATGACATTCTGAAAGTATTAGATTGATTTAATTTAAACTAATTTAATTTAATTCTCATGTTCATATAAATTGTACTTTCATGCAGCCTTTCTATCATGAAGGCTAAAATATGAGACTTATCAGTCAAGAGAATTTTCACCAAAGAATTTTTTGACCACCTTTGACTATCAAAACTTTCCCTTGAAACAATAGAGCTAGGCTTTGTTAAGGGAAAAAAAGATATTTATAGATTTTCTTACAAATTAAGAGACAGTTGTAATGTGCTCAGATCACCAAATCTTTACTTCAAGTCAAAGGCAAAGAGACCTCAGCATATAACATAGAAGAAAGGAGAAGGTGTTCTCAGGGTTGGAAGGATCAATTTGAAATCCAGGGATAGGTTAAGGATACAGCTGAAAGCAGAGGGTCTTACACCTGGCTTTCTGCCTGGAACTGTGGGAAGAGACCTGTAGACAGGTATCTCTGAACGAGAGGAGAAATGATAGTGTAGTGAGTTTAGAGGATCCTAAACCGAGTACCTTGTTCTCTGTTGATTCTTAAGTTTCAAGAACCCAGAAATTTTAGCATGCCCTCAGAATTTCAACCAGAAGTTGCGTGTTGGTGGAGCTGTCTTGGGGCCATTGAGGTGAAAGGGTGGGGAGACTTTCTGCCAGAGCCCATGAAGGGGATTGTCAAATGTTGATGCTGTTAGTGTTGCTGGAAGTTAGGACTGAGACACAGTACCTGCAGAGCTCATGAGCACTGAGGCATAACTTAGTCAATAAAGTGGGGTTTTCCCTGGGAAGCAGATTGAAAGCTGAACATGCTGGTGGCTTCAGTTGGCATGGACATTTGTCACCTGAATGTTTAGTGGCCAAGAAACACTAAAGCTACCACTGTGGATTCAGAGGCCTGTAAAAGCACCTGCATTTATGTCAATGGCTCCTTTAACCATCACCGGAGAGAAACATGTGCTATCTCAGGGTAAAAGATAAATAACTTGGAAAGATAGTATTTACTGAAAAGATTCCAGTTTATCCAAAAGAAATTGAATTAATTTTAATTGGCTAGTTAACCATCCACAAAAATGAGGACTTCAGAGGAATCTGAGTACAGTTTTAGAAAGTATTCTATTCTTTTCCCCCCATTTAAGTCATGATGTATATGTGTTAACCCCCAACATATTAGCATTACCCTAGTAATACCCACAACTTTGAGATAACTACTATTTCCTCCTCTATTTTGAAGATTAAAAAACCCCAAAACCAAAAACCAAAAAGCCAGGTTAAACCCAAAGTCACAAAATTTGGGTGTGGTAGAGCCAAGAACCAAACCAAAGGAGTTTATTGCTAAGATCTGTGTGCTTAAGTACTATTGTACCATACAGTGCTGCTTTCAGATACCGTATCCAGATTGTCAGGAAATGACCTATATAGAGTTCTTTGATTACTCTCCCACAGTGCTGTTAGCACAATATGCTCCTTTCCCTGAGCCATCTCACCATATTCCTTCTCAAAGCCTTTTCCTTTTCTTCCTTGGGACTCTGACATTATGGGTAGCAACTATTTGCCATGCTCTACGTTTTCACCGACCATTCATTCCACCTTAGAATTTTAAATAAAGCCTGGCTATTTCCTGAGTTTCCCTTTAAGCTGCTCTTCCCCCAACAGCCTAGCACTTGAGGGCTAGTGAGCGGTTAGAGTCAGATTTCACCTTCAAACTATTAAAACTTTCTGGTCACTCCTTTATGTTCATGTTAGAACTCTTGTTCCTTTAAAGTTCTTGACTTTCAGTGATTCTTAAACTTCAGCAATTCATCAGAATCACCTTGTTAAAGCAGATAGATGTCAGCTGAGGTCTGAGAATTGGAATTTTCTAACAAGTTAGCATGTGATGCTGCTGCTGCTATGGTTATGTATACATGAATCATTTTTAGATCTAAATATTAATGAAATCTATAGAGATTTGAGATGATGCTTAATCTTGAATTGAGTAGAATTATTTCACAATACTCTTTTTTATTGAACCCTGAAATAATCCTTTTATTTTTGACATAAATTTCCATTTTTTAATTTCACTAAATATAAATTTAACAATGCTACCCTTACATAAAACTTTATAATTATTTTATATATGAGAAAAAACACAAATGACAATTATAAATTCTTTTTTGGTGAGCAAATTAGGTAATTCACAATCAGAGTAGTAATATATTAATATAAATTTATCCTGTTTCAGAAGCATTTCTGCAATCTATTCTCTCAGGCATCATTTTGAATTTCAGTCATTACAAAACCTTATAAAAGATTCCAATGTCCCTTTTTTCCCTCTGGTATCTTGTATTATTTATGGTAATATTTTATGATGAACAGTATTTTCTCTTATTCATTAATATTTATATGTCCACTGTCAGCCTTTTGAAATTCTCAATATATGTAATCTCAATAATTACACTATGAATGAAACATGCAACCAACATCTATTTTTTGGATTGCTTTGCAATTTTCTTTTCAATTTATCCTGTAGGTACACAAATAAATTACTGCTAACATCCTGAGTCAAGTATAGCATATATTCACGCGACAATTCTAATTAAAACTGTGGGTTGGCTCACAGTTATTTTAAATGTCAAATTACAGGTAAAACACTGTTTTCTAGATAAATATATATCTAAAAGATTTTTTGAAGCACAGGTATCAGCAATGTAAGGTTAGTGCTGGTAATAGAAAGAAAGAATAAAATTATTTATACATTACTTTAGGAAATACAGATAGAAAAAAGTAGAAAACATTTCAGCAAAAACAATTCCTCTTATCTTTCATTATTTTAGTTCACTTAAAAGGAGTGATCTCCATTTGTATGTGAAAAACTACATTTCTTTAATTCATGTATACTATGGGTCTAGATAATTTATTGTCAGCTTTGTGTTTGATATCAATATAGCATTTAAATAAACATAATCAAGATGAAAACCCCCTGACTGTCTTATCCAGGGATACTTTGTTGCATGGAATGGAAACAAGTGAGAATTAACTTATTTAAAGTAAGTTATATTTTAATGGTATCCATAAACTCATGGAAACATAGGAGTGTGTCATGGGAACTTGAAATACTTTGTAAAATTAGTTAGACGGTCTGGGCACAAGTGTTCATATTTCTTTTTTCTGCACGTTGACTTGATTCCCTTGCTTCTTCATATGACCTGGTTCTCTCTGCTTACATATCACTCCATTCTTGCCTTATCATGGCTTTCCCATGGCAGCCTCAGCCCCCAGAAAGTAAAAGCTTTCAGCTCACCTCTGCGCATTTGAGCAGCTTATCCTGTTTCCTGAATGGAAATTGCCAAAAGAGAAATTGAACAGCTGGTTTTGAATCAGATACCTACCTATAGTTAAATCAGTATGCCTAGAAA